ACAAGCAAAGGTGGTTTTGGTGGTTGCGATATATAGCGCCGTTTTTTCCTCTCCTTCTTCTAAACTTGTACATTTTTTACACTAGACTTATTTTATATCATTTTAAAGATCTTTCAATTTCCTATATTTTGCACTTTAGCATTTTTGAAAATATCGAGTGTGAGCCAAGTTACAGACTAAACGACACACGGCACCTGTTTCTCACCCCTTCTCAACTAGCGGGTACACAAAATGAGGGAATTCTTATATCATTCGGTAGCTCTTTTTTTTCCTATGTACTGAACTTTAGACAGGCCAAAAATATCAACTTTGAAAAAATCTAGAATCATAAAAATGTTGTCAATCGATAAGAATATGGAAGCAAGTGAATGTCACTACTATACAACTGGCATGTTATGTAGTTGGAAAAGGAGGAGAAAAAGGATTCAAGTCGTTCCCAACGGTATGCTAGTTAGTTAACTACTATCACAAGGTATATTTTGAAATCAGAAGAGAGATAGAGAGACGCAGATAGAAAGAGAGTGTAAAAAATAATAATATGTATACTACTAATCAGCGGTTTCTAGGAAACCTATTGGGAGGAGGTTTATGGAGTATAATTATGACAAGACTGTTGTTTGACAAGTCGTACCTCTTTTCAAAATTGACATTTTGAATTCTAATAGAAAACAAAATTTAGGAAAAAAGAAGGGCTACAAAATGATATGCAACAAGATTGGGGTTTGAGAATTTTAAAAAATACTTATGTAGAGGGCGATGAATACGATATCTTAATAACCAACAATGCTTATTGTGCTGTTTGGCTTGTAACTTCGCTGAAAACCAATTTTTTTGAACACACTAAATTGCAAAATAGAGAAAATTCAAAAAGCTTCAAGATTATATAAAATTTGCCTGCTTCTAAATGTGTCTTATCTGCTTCAGGATGCAATTAAGACGACATCTTGGTAACCCCCATTGTTACTAACGTTGTTATCAGATCTGGAGCATAATCGTGGATATGCCGAGGAGATGCTATAAAAGGATTGAGAATCGCCAGTATGATGAGACATCTGAATCAAAGGAACAATCCCAACGGACCTCTCCAACGATGGATTCACCGATGCGAGGATCCAATTGCTGACGCTCGCGGATGAGCCAATCTACCGATGCCACACCCCTTCTGCAACCTCCTCATCAAGCCAAGGATGGTTCACCCCTCTGCTCCTATAAACGGAAACTCCTGTCGCTGGTCATCGTCTCCTGGCAAACTCCCCAAATGCTGATGCTATGAAGAACCATAATCAGAGCCCTAACCCAGTTAAATAAATAGTTGTTGAATACTTAATGTTCCTATCCTTGTACTTTTGCTCCGACACAGGCTCACCACCTAAGAGTCGGAACACTTTCTAAACATACTACCTGGCAAAATATAGAGCGCTATGAATCACAGCCATCACCATTGCCTCTTGGGTTATTTGGCTCGTAACTTGGCTGAAACTTAATGTCTTTGAACATACTAAATTGCAAAATGTGGGAAATTGATAGAGCTTCAAAATGGTATAAAATTTATCTACTATTAGATTTGATTTGTCTGCTGTAGGATGAACTTTAAGCGGCATGTCAGGAACCACTATTGGTTTTTGCGTTTTTCAGCTTGTAACCTGCTTCAAATGTGGCATTTTCAACTGGAATTAATTGTAAAAAGTACAAATTCGATTTTACTTCAAAACGAAATAATTTTTTTGCAACTAGTTTCGACTTAACTGGTCATTATGCATCAGGAAATTTCATTGACATTTCCCAATGACTCATTTTTGTTTTCACTCGTATTGTTTGATTATTTTTATTATTATTATTATTATTATTATTATCCCTAATATTACCATTAGCAAACTTCAGATTCTCCCATATATATATATATATATATATATATATATATATATATATATATATATATATATATATATATATATACCGTAAAACCTCTAATAGAACGACACCCGGATCGTCCACTTTGAGCCTACATATCTCACTTTTTTTGAAAGATATCAAAAAGTGGTCAACTAGTAAAATGTTTATCAGGTTATCAGCAACATTTTACCAGTTAGCCACTTTTTGATATCTTTCACAGAAAATGAGATATATAGGCTCAAAG